AATGGGTGAATGCAACTTCGTAAGAAGTCGAAATTAGGAAGATCTCACCAGCAGCAATCAACCAGAACTGAGGAATCTGCCACCAAATGGAGACAGAGAAGACAGGCTTCGACATAACCATATACTCCACACCAAGAGCCACGAGTAGGGACGCCGCGTCACACAATGAACCAATGCAGAAACGTACCAGAACTGGTGGCATTAGGTTGTGCCTCTTCAAAAAAGGGAACAACACCGTATCAACCAAAACACTAGTCAAAACCACGGCAATGGGATCCACGTTCTGCATCATCTGAGCCGGCATCTCCCATCCGAACAGGTTGGTGTCCATCTTTTTACCTTGAGTTAGGAAAGCTGTCGTCATGTTATTGTAAGCCATCACGAAAGGTATAATGAGAGAAATAAAGGCACCAATCGGAAGAGTGCCTTTGCATCCTCAATGAAACCATCCTTGAAACGACCACCATTGGACTCCTTGTTCTTTTCCAGGGAGCACCTCGTAATAGAAAAGAAGAGTACCTTAAGGATCTCCAATACAGCAGATCCCTGAGGCTTGGGCTTGACATAACGACCCATCAAGTTACCCCCAATGAAAACAATCGTTGCAATGATAAAGGCAACTAAAGGGAAAGAGAAGCTTGCAGTGAAAGAGACCGATTCGACCAAAATCGGAGTAACAATACCACCAACAATAGAACCAAGATTGATAGAAGCATAGAAATAGGTGTAATACCTTGTATTAAGATCTTTATGCTCCTCAGGATGGAACTGTTGAGCTCCCATGACGTTCACACAACTCTTAAGTCCACCCACACCAAATGCAATTAGGAAGAGTAGTGAGACATGGATCATCCACGGCTGACTAATCGAATGTATCGTAGACAGCGTTAGAAGAGCCAAACCCGCCATGTAAACGAAGGAGAATGCCAGAATAGTGAGGTAGAGTCCAAGTATCGTATCCGATATCACAGCAGAGAGAAGTGGAGTAACATAAAGATAGCGTTGAACGTAGAGAT